CTCTCTCGTCACCTCAATCTGACTCAGGTCTTCCAACACCCCTCCTGAAATCAGTGGTTCTGGAGTGGGCAAGCACTTCTCATCTTCCACAGTGAAGACGGAGGCAAAAAATGCATTTAGCTTCTCAGCCATTTCCCTATCATCCTTCAATACTCCTTTTACCCCTTGGTCGTCCAAGGGCCCCACTGCCTCCCTGGCTGGTTTCCTGTTTCTAATGTATTTGAAGAAAGTTTTATTGTTGGTTTTTACGTTTTTTGCTATATGCTCCTCATATTCCCTTTTTGCCTGCCTGACCTCAGACTTGCATTTTATTTGCCATAGCCTGTGTTCCGTTTTATCAGCCTCACTGTGACTAGCTTTCCACTGCTTAAAGGAATTCTTTTTACTTTTTACAGCCTCCATTACTCTGTTTGTTAACCATGCAGGCTTTTTCCTATACCTGTTTGTGCCTTTCCTAACCTGCGGAATATATATTTTTTGAGCTTCTAGGATCGTAGTTTTAAATAGATCCCAAGCTTCCCCAATTGTTTTGACCCTTTCTACTTTTCCTTTCAGTTTCCTCCCCACGTGTCCCCTCATATCAGAGAAATTACCCCTTTTAAAGTTAAAAATGGTTGTGTGAGTCTTTTTGGCCAATTCTCTATTTGTACAAATGATGAACTCAACAACATTATGATCACTGTTTCCAAGCGGTGCAATCACTTTTACATCTCTCACCAGGTCTTGAGTGTTACTTAGGACCAAATCAAGGATCGCCTCTCCCCTGGTAGGTTCCGTGACCATCTGCTCCATAGCACAGTCATTTAGAGTGTCTAGAAACTCAATCTCTTTTTCCCGACTAGAACACATATTGACCCAATCAATGTGTGGGTAGTTAAAATCACCTATTATTACACAGTGTTTTTGTCTAGTTGCTATCTTTAAGGCATTCATCATTTTATAATCCTCCTCTATCTTTTGATCTGGTGGGCGATAACAAACTCCCAGTGTTAAGTTTCCTTTTGGCCCCCCTATTTCAACCCATAGAACTTCCAGAAGCGAATCCAATTCACTTAGCCTCTCAATCTTTCTAGACTTTATACCCTCTCTGACATACAGAGCTACCCCACCTCCAACCCTTCCCCCCCTATCCTTCCGATATAATATATAACCGGGAATCACTGTGTCCCACTGATTTTCCTCATCCCACCAAGTTTCAGAAATACCCACAATGTCTATTTTTCCCTCCGACACCAAGCACTCCAACTCCCCGATTTTACCTCGGACACTTCTAGCATTTGTATAGAAACAGCTGTAATTTCCCTTACAAGTTAAGCCTGCATCCTTCCTCTTGCTATCTCGAGTCGTTGTCCGGCAGTCCATGTCACCAGCCATGGCCTCTGTGGACAATTTCAATCCACCTCCCTGTAGAAAAGCAACCGGTACCCCCTCACCTCTCTCAGATGAGCCAACCCGAACCAGAGACTTTTCATCTCCTGTCGGCTTTCCCCCAATATTCAGTTTAAAAGCTGCTCTGCCACCTTTTTGATTTTAAGTGCCAGCAGCCTGGTTCCTTCTCGGGACAAGTGGAGACCGTCTCGCCTGTACAGCTCCCTCTTGTTCCAAAAAGTATCCCAGTGCCTAACAAACCTGAACCCTTCCCCCCTACACCATCGTCTCATCCACGCATTGAGACTCCTGATCTCTGCCTGTCTCTCCGGCCCTGCGCGTGGAACAGGTAACACTTCTGAGAAGGCTACCTTGGAGGTCCTGGACCTAAGTTTCCTGCCCAGCAGCCTAAATTTCTCCTCCAGGACCTCACGACTGCATTTCCCCACATCGTTGGTGCCGACATGCACCACGACCACTGGCTCCTCCCCAGCACTATCTACCAGCCTATCTAAAACACGCGTAATGTCCGCTACCTTCGCACCAGGCAGGCAAGTCACCATACGGTCAGTACGCGGGTTCGCCACCCAGCTGTCTACCTGCCTAAGGATCGAATCACCCACTACCAAGAGCCCCCCTCCCACCCTGCTCAGGGATGGTTCCTTGGTGCAAAAGGAGAGCCGCTCACCAGCTGGGGAAGAGGTCCCTTCTGAGGGCACATTCCCCTTATCCTCAGCATGGTGCCCTGTTTCCCCTAGACCCTCATGCTCCCTGACAGCAGCGGGGCTGCCAGATCCAGAGTGGGACGAAGCTAACAAGTCCCCGAGAGTCTTTTCTGTGTGCCTAGCTGACTGTCTCTGCTTCTCCAGGTCAGCCACCTTGGCCTCAAGGGAGCACACACGTTCCCTGAGAACCAGGAGCTCCTTGCACCGAGGACACACCCAAGACTTCTGCCCAGTGGGCAGATAGTCATACATGTGACACTCCGTGCAAAACACTGGATAGCCCCCAACCCCCTGCTGGCATTCTGGCTTCATAATTCTTTTAAAATAAATAAATATAATCCCCCTTTTAAACCCTTGGTATTTATGTGGGTTTTGTTATCAAGTCAAATTATTTTACGGGAAAGACAAAGAGCCTAGGGCCTTGTCTTTCTGGCTCTTTTTGGGCTTCTTACAGCGCCCCTAGTCTAAGAGTCCCTAGGCTAAGAGCCACAGGCAAAGAGCCCTTTAGCTCACCCTTCGGCTCGTGCCAGAGGCTCGTGCCTCTGCCAAGGTGCTTCCTTAAATAGAGGCCTCCCCCAGCAGAGGTCAGGCAGCAGCTATTCAAATTCAAATTCACCCAGGCACTCAATCACAGGCAAAACAATGCCCCTTCCACTTCCTCTCAATTACAGGCAATCCCAGTCAAACAATGCCCGTTCCTCTCCCACACTCAATCAGCCAGGACTCTGCAAGAACTCTAAGTGCTTCCACACACTGCTAAACACAGTTTTCCCACAAAATATCCTTAGCTGAATTCTCTCAGCTGAAAGCAAGTAAAAGAAACCCACTCACCTCTCTCACAGCTCTCTCTCCTGCTCCTGCTCAGAGCTCAGCTGGTCTCCTCTGCCTCTGGCAAGGTGCTTCCTTAAATAGAGGCCTCCCCCAGCAGAGGTCAGGCAGCAGCTATTCAAATTCAAATTCACCCAGGCACTCAATCACAGGCAAATATTGTCTTCGCATAATATAGAAATTCTGGAACCTGTAGCAAATTTTTTTTATGAGGTAACTAGGAGGAGAGGCTCATGTTAAGGCAATTCGGAATGTGATACCCCTCCAGCCTATCTTGAGGCTCTGCTGCATGTGTATTTGATATTTTATGCCAATAAAGGTATTGTATTTGTAACACAGACACTGTTAAGAATGGCGGCAGCCCATTAAGCATTCGTATGCACCCCCCCGGCATGGGCCGATTAGCCACTCTCCCGCGCTTGGGACCAGCTAGAAATCCGTTAGGTGGCGAAAGCTGGGAAACTGTAGTCTCTCACGGTACATAGGAGACTTCCAGACAATACAACTTCCAACGTCAGCTCCTCCTGCACATCTGTAGAGATAAGCGTTGCGGCACAGGGAAAACAGCAGAGACAGGAATGCAATAGCAATTTCCAAGACACAGAATGAACTCCCCAACCCCCATGGCAGCATAGCTGACATACTGCCCTCTTGAAAATCAGATTCTCCCGCCTATTCCGGGAGGTCTCCCGGTCAGTCCGGGAGATCTCCCGGTTTGTCCAGAAAATCCTGATGGAACTGCCACAACAGTTCAGGGGCCCGAATATCCCCTACTTCCACCCATTCGAGGTGCTGGGGTCCGAAATCCACCCATTCCACCAGATACAGCAACTTTCCCCGTTTAATCTTAGAGTCCAGTATCCGTGATATTTCGTAATGCTCCTCACCCTCAGTCATGATAGGAGGGAGTACCGGTTTCACAAGACGCCAGGGACAGGAACCCGTATCCCTCTTCAGGAGGCTGAAATGAAATACAGAATGCAATTTTCTCAAATTTTTCGGCAAGTCCACCTCAACTGCAACATCGTTGATGACTCTTTTAACTTTAAAAGGCCCAATGTATTTCCAGCCCAACTTACGACTAGGTCGCAGCATGTTGATATTTTTGGTACAAACATATACCGAATCCCTAACCCTCCACCCTTCTCTTATCAGCCTGCGTTTTATATGCTTCTTTGGCAGCATTCAAAGTCTTACACAGTAGTGGCCAAGAGTCCCACAATTGTTTACACCATTGAGCAGCGTCCCCCACCCCCATGGCCGTGTCTCCTTCCAGGAATGGGACAGGCGGGCTGTCATAACCATACAGCGCCTTAAATGGGGACATCCCCGTTGAAGAATGGCAAGTATTATTATAGCAGAATTCAGCCAGGGGCAACAAGTCATGCCAATTGTCTTGTTGGTAGTTGGCAAAACAACACAAATATTGTTCCAAGGTTTGATTTACTCGTTCCGTTTGACTGTCAGTCTCTGGATGGTAAGCGCTACTGAGTCCACGTTCGACACCCATTAGTTTCATCAGCTCACCCCAAAACCGGGAAACAAATTGGGTTCCCCTGTCGGATACCACTTTAGTGGGTAACATATGTAGTCTCACCACGTGCAGGAGGAATGCTTTAGCAAGCGCTTTGGCCGTAGGTAAGGAAGTGAACGGGACGAAGTGTGCTTGTTTGGAAAAGAGATCTACAACCACCCAAATTACAGTCATAGATTTGCTGGGTGGTAAGTCAGTTATAAAATCCATCGAAATGACTTCCCAGGGTCAACTTGGGGTCGGAAGGGGTTGCAGTAGGCCCGGGGGCTTCCCTGGCTGGGGTTTACTCATGGCGCAAACTTGGCATGATTGAACAAACGAAGATAGGTCCTTGCGCATATGAGGCCACCAAAACTGCCTTTGGAGCAGTTGCAAGGATTTAAGAAACCCCGAATGTCCCGATAGTTTGGAGCCATGCACTGCCTGCAACACCTCCCCCCTGAGGGAGAGGGGAACGAACATCTTATGGCCCCAGTACCAACAGCCATTTTCTCTTAGTTCAAAGTCCCCCTCCACTTCCATAACGGCTTTATCCTCCTCCGTAGGCGAGTCAGGAGGCCATGAGGGTAGAGAAGTCAGGTTGACGTGGGCTTGGCTGCGAGTTGTCACTGCCCCGCCCAGGTGGGAGGGGGTGAACACCAAATCGAGAATCACCTCCCTTTGGCTGTCGTGTTGGGGGAGGCGTGAGAGCACGTCAGTCAATGAATTTGCCGAGCCAGGGAAATGGTGAAGGGTGAACTGGAACTTAGAGAAGAAGTCCGCCCACCTAAGCTGTTTAGCATTCAGGCAACTTGGCGTTTTGAGAGTCTCTACATTCTTGTGGTCTGTCCATACCTCAAATGGGATCCTAGCCCCCTCCAGCCAATGTCTCCAGGTAGAAAGCACCAGTTTTATTGCCCCAGCTTCCTTTTTCTATAAAGGCCAATTTCTCTCAGTGTCGTTAAATGTTTTAGACATGTACGCTAACAGATGCAACAGCCCATCCTCCCCCTCCTGTAGGATGCCCCCCCATTGCTATGTCATAAGCGTCAGTTTGCACAATAAACTTTTTTAATTCATCAGGATGGGCTAGAACCAGCTCCGAGGTGAACAGGGCCTTCAACCACATGAATGCTTCCTGACACTCTGCAGTCCATGGAAGCGTAGCGCCAGGCCGGGTAGCCTCCGGACCCTTTCCCTTTGTTTTTAAGAGGTCTGTGAGGGGGAGGCTGACTTGAGCAAAGTTGGGCAAAAATGAACGATAAAAGTTTGCAAAACCGAGGAAGGATTGTAATTGTCGTCTGGTCCGGGGCGCTTCCCACCCCAATACATCTCGGTCCTTCCCCGGGTCCATTTCCAGTCCCTGGTTGGAAATGCAGTAGCCCAAAAAGTCAATGTGTGTCTTGTGGAATTCACACTTGGACAGTTTTGCAAACAGTTTGTGCTTGTGCAACGTACTCAGCACCTCCCTCACTAATTTCACATGGGAGGTGACATCGGGGGAGTACAGGAGGATATCATCAAGGTAAACGAGCACCCCCTTAAACAAATGCTTGTGCAACACCTCATTTATCAAGTTCATGAAGACCCCCGGGGCCCCTTGAAGGCCGAATGGCATCACGAGATACTGAAATTGGCCAAGGGGAGTGTTGAACGCGGTTTTCGGCTCACCTCCTTCCTTGATGCACACCCAAAAGTATGCGTCTCTAAGGTCCAACTTAGAAAAGATTTTCCCTTTAGCCGCCTCAGCTAGTAAATCTTTAATTAAAGGCATGGGGTAGGCATTGGTGGAGGACACTGCATTTAGACCCCAGTAATCCATGCAGAATCTCAACCCACCGTCCTTTTTCTTCCGGAAGAGCACGGGAGCCGCATAGGGGGATGAGGCCAGCCTGATGAAACCCCTCTCCAAGTTTTTATGAATGAACTTTCAGAGTTCATCCTTCTCAGCCGGCCCCATAGCATAGATCCGCCCCTTTGGCAGTTTGTGCCCCGGCAAGATTTCAGTGCTGCAGTCTGAGTGTCTATGTGGTGGCAACTCATCCGCCTCCTCCTCCTCGAAAACCTTAGCCAAGTCCCAGTACTCTGAAGGAATAGAGAGCAGTTCCTCTTGGGCCAAGCACGGTCCCGGGGTTTTGAGAGGGGGTTTCTTGCCTCACTTAACGCCCCATCGGTGTTCATGGCATCTGGGAGAGATGAATTGCACTCTCCCCTCTTCCCACAGTATGTAAGGGTCATGCCCGTGTAGCCAGGGGCCCCCCAAAACGAGGGGAAATCGTGCTGTCGAAGTGATCACAAAGGTTTGGGCCTCCCAGTGGTCCCTCACCCCCATTCTCAATGGCACCATTTCGTACTCGCACAGGTCTTTCATAGTAGACCCATCCATTTGGGTGAAAATCAGGGGTTCCTTTAATTTCACCACCCCAGCTTCTAGTCCCGCGACCAAGGAGGGGTTCATTAAGTCTCTCCCGCACCCAGAGTCAATGAAAGCTTTTGCTCGAAGGTGGGTTCCGAGAACTGGGTTAATCAACGTGACAGTCACAAAAAAGAGGGAGGGGTAATTACTCACCACATTTGGTGCCTACGGTTGCGGGCCCTGCTGCTCTGCACCATCTACAGCAGGACCGAACCATTTCCCGCCGGTTCGAGGTCCTCTCCACTCAATTCCCCTTCATCCTCTTCAGGAGAAGCTTTTGGTTTCCCAGTTGGTTTTTTTGCAGGGGTGGATGGGCGCACTTTGGCTCCATCGGGTTTTTCCCGGGGCCCTGGTACCCCACAGTCGGCCCGAAGTGGCCCCGTTCTCCACACTTCAGGCAGAGCCCTTGCCGCATGCGCTGCTCCCATGTTGCATCCGAATGCTTGGCTGGCTTGGCTTTTGGAACCTGAGGGCCCGAACGCCCCCCCCCAGCCGTGGCGATATCCAAACGCAGGGTTGGCAACGGATTCTCCGCACTTTCCACCTCCTGCATCCAAGCCGGGAGGGAGATCGGGTCGACTGATCTTAGGACCGTCTCTCGGATCTCAGGGTTCAGCCCTACTCGGTATAACTCAGCCAACACATTGTCAGGCCAATTTTGCACTTTGGCTGTGTGCAGTTTGAACTCAGCCGAGTACTCTCACACCGATCTGCGCCCTTGTTTCAGCGTGCGCAAGAACGCTCGTGCTCTTGGGCCTGCATTTCGATCCTCAAAGTGGGCTCGCAACGCCCACATGAAAGCGTTCAGGTTGGTAAGCTCCGGCCCCTGGGCATTATGCAGTCCCACATACCAAGCCGCTGCGGGGCCTCGGAGCTGGGCAGCCACCACATCAATTCGGCTGGTGTCATCTTGAAACAGATGGCCCGAGCGATCCACAAACTTTTGCACTCGCACTATGAAGTAGGACAACTCATCTGGATTCCCATCAAACGTGGCTTCGATCAAGTCCTTCGGGTGAGGTACCACCTGGCCCCTTGGACTAGCCGGTTGCGAAGCCGGCACTGGGACTTCTCCCGGCCTCGGGGCCGGTACGTCACCCGGCTGTGCTGGGGCTCCCGGTTGCCTCTCCAGCGCTTCTCCAACCACTCGCATTACCAGGTCCGGAATGGCCATGATGACATCTTCCAGGGTCTGCTGTAGATGTCGGATATCACGGTCAGCCACCTCCATGCGCTTAGCGAGTTCCAGTCCCCCGTCTGGGGACACCCGGACACTCCGGGATTTCGATCGCTCCGTCACCCGTGAGCTCGGGACCGGTTCAAAGGGAGCCCCGAACGGGGGTAGTCCCCCCGCCGCGGCAAGGCCCCTGTCATACAAACTGTCTCTCGGGGGGGGGTGTCCGTAAATACGTTTCAGCCGTTGAGTCGGAGTTGAATTGGCTCCAGCTGGAGCTTGTTCTGTAACCCTGTCTGGCCCGAAGTTTCGGGCCCGGTGGGGTCAGGAACAGGTGTGCTGATGTGGACTTCGGAAGGGTCCCCCCATTGCTCCAGTTGCTGGTGGTGTCATAGTCACCGGCGCTGAGGCCGTGGTCACTGGGGTTTCTTTCCCCTCCTCGTCTGGCTCCTTCGGTTCTTCAGGCAAGGTTTTCTCCTCTCTGTTGCTCATCTCGGGTTGAGAGAGGCATTGAGATAGGGAATGAATGGATTCCTAACAGAATGTCAGGATCCACAGCAAGACAATGAAGTACACGCTTCTAGGAAGATTTTACTTTTATTGAAAAGCCATAGATGCAGTAACAGGAACCTTTTAGGAATGGCGGGTTACCTATGAGCATAATAGGATATAGGGCATTCGTATGTGCCCCCCCCCAGGTGCTACCCAATTAGATGGGCTCCCGCCCACGGGCATTTGACATAAGCACTAACTGCTGCGAAGCTGGGAAAGAAAAAACCTTCCCACGAAACCTAGACACACCAACTCCTTCAGTGACCTTGAAAGATACGTGTTACAGCTCAGAGGCAATTAAGCGCATGGGAAGGAATGCAAAGCAATTAGAAACAGACACCCCCCTCATGGCAGCCATAGCTGACATAGCGGAGGCAAATTTAGTGTGCCAAGAGTCTTTTTCCCCCTCGCCTGCCCCCGTAGGTTCCTTTGGAGGCAGCGCAGGGGGTGGAGCAGCCAAGCGAGCTTGCTTGCGCGTTGTCACCGCTTTGCCCAACTGGGAAGGCGTGAACATCGAGTCCAGGACCATGTCCCGTTGGCTCTCGTGTTGGGGAAGGCAGAACAGTGCGTCGGCCAACAAGTTAGCCGACCCTGGGCAATGGTGCAAAGTGAATTGAAACTTGGAAAAGAAATCAGCCCATCGGAGCTGTTTGGCATTGAGGCACTGGGGCGTTTTGAAAGTCTCTAAGTTCTTGTGGTCTGTCCATACCTCGAACGGGACCCTCGCCCCCTCCAACCAATGCCTCCAGGTGGATAGGGCAAGCTTTATCGCCCCGCCTCCTTTCCCCAAACTGACCAGTTACATTTGGTGTCATTGAATTTTTTTGAGACGTAAGCTAAGGGGTGCAACACGCCATCCTCCCCCTCCTGTAGGATTGCCCCCCCAGCAACATCAGACGCATCAGTTTGCACAATAAACTTTTTCGTTTCATTGGGTTGGGCGAGCACTGGTTCGGAGGTGAATAAGGCCTTTAGGCAGTCGAATGCCTCCTGGCACTCATTGCTCCACAGGAACGTGGCACTCGGCTTTGTAGCCTCCGGGCCCTTCCCCTTAGTTTTTAGGAGGTCTGTGAGGGGTAAGCTGACCTGGACAAAGTTTGGCAAAAAGGTTCTGTAAAAGTTCGCAAAACCAAGGAAGGATTGGAGTTGTTGGGTGTGGGGTACCCCGGGTCCATGCCCAGGCCCCACGAAGTCAATTTGTGTTTTGTGAAATTCATATTTGGACAGTTTGGCAAAGAGTTTGTGCTTGTGCAACATGGACAAAACCTCCCATACTAATTTCACATGGGAAGGCAGGTCGGGGGAGTACAGCAAGATATCATCAAGGTAAACAACCGCCCCCTTGAACAAGTGCTTGTGTAACACTTCATTGATTAAGTTCATGAAGACACCCGGGGGGCCCTGAAGGCCAAAAGGCATCACCCGGTATTCGAATTGGCCCAGGGGGGTGTTGAAAGCGGTCTTATGTTCGTCCCCCTCCCTGATGCACATCCGGAAGTAGGCACCTCAAAGGTCTAGTTTGGAGAAGATTTTCTCTTTGGCCGCTTCCGCGAGCAAGTCTTTAATCAAAGGCATGGGATAGGCGTTAGTAGATGACACTGCATTCAAT